TCAATCAGCATTTGTGAAAATATCCCATAGGTCAGCTCAGACTGGCCTCCATGGGAGGTTGGTTCTGTAATGAGGTGTCAGGAATTTGTTCCTTATCTAAGGTCTGACCTCTGGCATGTTGTTAACTATATGGTTAAATATGTAATCTTATCTATTTGTTGAAACACAGTGAGAGAGCATGTCAGCCATGCTGGAACTGTTCCAGGCTGAAAGAACTATGAATGATCTGTGTTATCTTGGATACTATAAAATAAGATATATTTTAAGCAACATTAGTCTTTCACCATCCTTGAAATCATGCACTGGGGAAATGCTCTTTCTTCATCTCCCCTGCCATCCCGCTCTTTCAAAGAGAAGAAAACATTTCAAGGAGCATAGAATGAAAAAGGGCAGAAATTGTACTCAATGTGTTGCTAAAGGTTTTCGTGGCTAGAATCACTGGGTTGCTGTGAGCTTTCTGGTCTTGTAAGGCCATGTTCCAGAAGCATTCTCTCCTGACATTTCACCCACATCTATGGCAGGCATCCTCAGATGTTGTGAGGTCTGTTGGAAACTAGACGGGGTATTCCAGACAAGAATCAATTAGGGCCAGCTAACACCTCCCAACAAAGGATCCCCCCAGACAGCAACCAGTCAGGCTTTGAAGCTACAAGGCCATTCAATGCTAATCAAGGTGGCCAATTGCAATATTCACACTTGCCTCAAACAGACAAGAGTTCTTTCTCCCACTCTGGACATTCCACAGATATATAAATCTCACTTGCCTACTTTCCAACAAATCTCACAACCTCTGAGGATGCCTGCCATAGATGTGAGTGAAATGTCAGGAGAGAATGCTTCTGGAACATGGCCATACAGCCCAGAAAACTCACAGCAACCCAAGAGCAGAAAAGCTTACATATTATCCTATCAGTTACAGAAAACAGTGGAAAGGGCTTTTGTGTGATGGCATTTTTATGCTGCTTCCACCACAACAAACCCAGCTCAATAAGTATATTATTTACATACACTGCCCCATGTTTTCACTTAAGCCAGTTCAAATCCTGGCAATGGTTAATGCTGGAACAGAGACAGACCAGGTTAAGTATTGTTTATACTGATGATGTGAAGCAAAGCTTTGAAGTAACAAGTTACTTTTTGAAACCATCACCTAGGTTAGATTTTTAAAAATTTCTTTCGGGTGTCTGATTCCAGTAAGAATTCCAGTGTATTTCAGGGTATGATAAAGCCCCATTGTCCATAGCAATGTTTGCACATGCAGAACCAAGAGCATTCCTTAATACTCTTAATTCCATAGTAYACAACCAGAAAAAAAGTCCTAACTTGAAGTAGAATATTTGTTTTACGTGGTTATTGGCYAATTCTCYCCCCCCCCYYYTTTTTTTTTYTTCAAATAAGCCTCTGGTGGTGCAATGAGTTAAACCCTTGTGCTGGCTGATAGGCATGGTTAGGTTCAGTTGGAATCTTCATAATTYGGAATAAATTCGGAAAATTTCCTTTTTGAAGCAATTTTGAAGTTTTTAAGRAAACTGGAAGTCCCTTTGCCCTTCCGAAGCTTTTTCCACCATTTCTCTTACGAATCAGTAAGTGAGTCAGAAATGATTCAGCTTTCCCCCTGCTTCTGTTCCCTGGCCTCAGTTCAAGCCAGAGAAGCATTTGAAACCAGTGTGGATCGATTCCCTTCCTTTCCTTTCTCTCCTGTGTCAGTTTAAACCGGTGTGGATGGATTCTCTTCCTTTCCTTTCCCTCCCACGTCAGTTAAACCAGTGTAGATGGATTCCCTTCCTTTCCTTTCCCTCCCGAATCAGTTTAAACTGGTGTGGATGGATTCCCTTCCTTTCCTTTCCCTCCCGCTTCAGTCTTAAGCTAGAGAAGCGGTTTTAACCAGAGTGGATGGATTTCTTCCCTTTGCTTCCCCCCTCCCTTTCTGGAGTAAAACAACTACTTTCAAAATAAAGACCACCCAGTGAAACAGGAAATAATACTTTGAAACCATTAACAAAGGATTCGGAAGTCTCAGAAGTTTAGCAAAGTTTTGAACTTTTTTCTGTGAAAATCGGAATTGACTTTAGATCTGAACCACCAGCGCCCCCTATATCCGAAATGAGTTTTGAACCATTTTTTTTTATCAAGCAAGCCTACTGGCTGAACTGCTGACTGAAAGGTTGGTGGTTCAGATCCAGAGAGCAGGGTGAGCTCCCATCTGTCAGCTCCAGCTTACCATGCAGGAACATGAGAGAGGCCTCCCACAGGATGGTAACACATTTGGACATCCCCTGGACAATGTCCTTGCAGACAGCCAATTCTCTCAAACCAGAAGTGACTTGCAATGTCTCAAGTCGCTCCTGACACAGAAAAAATACATTTTGAAAAGAATTGTTGGGGCAGTTCTCCTCTAGATCTTTTTGTCCACCATTAGGTGCACTCAGACACACCGTATAGTGTTTTAAACAATATTGTAGGTCTAGTTCTGTTGGGATTCCACATCAAAAGATTATTCTTGGAACTAAAATGTCCCTTCTATCTGGATGTCGGTTAACAACTGCATAAGAAAATCGTATTTCAAGAGCAAAATGAGTAGTTGGAACAAAGCTACTCTACTAGTATAGTGATTAACATTTTCTAGTTACTTTAAAAAGATGCTTTGAAATGGCATTTTATAGTCATTTGAGAAAATTTTATCAGTTTTTTGTCCCCTTTCATGTTAGGATTTTAATTTTCAAAAGAAGAAACAATAGAACAAATTGGTTTTGAAGCTTCATAGCATATTACAACAATGTATGACTTTTAGAAACACTGTGACACATAATAGGACCACATTAGTTACAAAGCTAACTTTGCAGGCCTTGGTATCAAGCCTCGAAGAAGCTATTTCCTCCTTCCTCCTTATGAGAGTCTTTTTTTCTGTCGTTGACAGAAAAAAAACACTGATTCAATGGGATTTACAGACTGAATCTATGGGATTTACAGACTGTTTTTTCCTGCAGTTGCTTATGTCCTAGTTTCTCTCTCATCTCACTCATCATATAATCTAGTTCCACCGGAGCCCCCAGTGGTGCAAAGAGTTAAAACCTTGTGCTGGCTGAACTGCTGACCAAAAGGTGGGCGGTTTGAATCTGGGGAGTGGGGTGAGCTCTCGTCTGTCAGCTCCAGCTTCTCATGTGGGGACATGAGAGAAGCCTTTCATAGAATGGTAAAACATCAGGGCATTCCCTGGCAACATCCTTGAAGACGACCAATTCTCTCACTTGATGTCAGTTTAAAAATGGAAATAACAAACTTTGAAGTGGCCAAAGATAAGCCATTCTTAAAGATTAATAGTAACAATATTTCTATAAGAACTAAGAGTTAACTGTGGCACCAACAAGATGATACTGTGTAACTGTGTTGTGTGAACCTGAGTAATCTTTAAATAAATATTTTTCTGTTCAGTTTAAATACTAGAACTGGTGTCTAATTATTAAGGAAAATATTTTCCTCAGAAGAAGGCAGCTGAAGATATTAGAAGAAAGGATTCTGGTTGGGGTAATGAGTTACTCCTTTTAAAAAGTGCCTCAAGTAAAAACATTTTAAAAGTCAAGCCTCAGCAACTCGCACCACCACTATCTTAGTATCCTCATCGCCCTGGTTTTACATATATATATTTGTCATTCATTCATCTGTGGCAGCGGTGAGATAGAAAAAAATAAGATCCCTCCTGCCACATGAGTTTCGAGAGCTCTACATATTAATTGGTGGCTATGGTGGAATAGAAAAATAAGATCCATCCTGCCACACGACAGATTGGAGTGCGCTTCACCCAACAAACCCTTTCAGTACTTTATGTTCTGTGTACCAAGTTTGATTCAATTCCATCATTGGTGGGGTTTAGAATGCTCTAAACCCCACCAACGATTGAAAATCCCCTATCTTTAGATATCCCATTAAGAAATCTATGGTGTTTCACACTATTCATCAAAACATCTGGGCATCCCCTGGGAAACATCCTTGCAGACGGCCAATTCTCTCACACCAGAAACAACTTGCAGTCCCTCAAGTCGCTCCTGTAAGGGAAAAAAACCTTAATATTTAACTGATTGTTTATGCTGCCCCCTAGTGGTTCTAAACCTATCCCATGAGAACATTTACTTTAAAATACAAAATTGTGTGCACATTTTATTAAAATGCTATCTCCTTTTTGTTGACAATTTCTGCTACCTTGGCAGCCACCTCTCAACGTTGACACTGAAATACAATACCGTCTGAGCTCTGTGAGTGGAGCATTTTTCCGAATGAAGCAGAGCGTGTTTGAGGATCGGGGCATCTAAAAGGAGACCAAGGTGTTTGTTTATAAAGCTATTGTCCTCCCAACCCTGTTATGTGCCTGTCACACTCAACTCCTGGAATGATTCCATCAGCTGAAAAATCCTGCAAATCTCTTGAGTGAGAGGACAGGTGGACAAATGTCAATATGCTGGAAGAAGCAAAGTACTGAAGTGATGCTCCTACGCCATCATCTCTGCTGGGCAGGCCACATTGTCCGAATAACCAATCACCATCTCCCAAAGCAGTTACTATACTTCCAACTCAAGAACAGAAACGGAATGTTGGTGGACAGGAAAAGAGATTTAAAGATTAGCTTAAAGCAAACCTTAAAAACTGTGGCACAGACACCAAGAACTTGGAAACCCTGGCCCTTGAGCGCTCTAGCTGGAGGTCAGCTGTGACCAGCAGTGCTGTGGAACTTGAAGAGGCACGAACGGAGGAAGAAAGGGAGAAGCATGCCAAGAGGAAGGCATGTCAAGCCAATCCTGACTGGGGCTGCTTTCCACCTGGAAACCGATGCCCTCATTGTGGAAGAACATACGGATCAAGAATAGGGCTCCACAGTCACCTACATACCCACCGCGAAGACACTACACTTGGAAGACCGTTGTACTCAGACAATGAGGGATCGCCTAAGTAAGTAATATGTTGTTAGTGCTGCCCCCTGGTGGTTCCAAACCCATCCCATGAGAACATTTATTTTAAAATACACAATGGTATGCACATTTTATTAAAATGCTATCTCCATTTCCAATCTGCAATTTGCATATGTCACTATTACACACATCCTTCCTTCCCATCTAGGGAGAGAATTTAATGGTCACAGGAAGATCATGCAGCATGGGTCGCAATAGGATAGTCTGGTCCCTCGACTAGCAAATTCAACAAGGGTAGAAATGTTATTAAGTTGATTCAACATCTCCAGGCAGTTGAAGGGAGTGAAATTACAGGGAGGATTACAAGGAGAATCAGATTTATCTGTCTTGGCTGACTGATAAATCCACATCTGTGTCTTTTTTTTTTCATTCTGTGTACAGTAAGCATCAGTTATATAAATACAAAATACTGTATAGTAGTTTTGTGTAAAAAGGAGGAGATAAATCCATATACTTGCATTAATGTTCCTTCAGCTTCCAAAGGGATTTCACACACTTGAGTGACTTGGTGGAGCTTTTTCTTTTGCTTTGGAAAAAGGTTAGGAGTGTCTTTTTACTACAATTTACACATTCTCTTTTTTCCACCGAACGGAAGACTGAAAACACACCCAATGGGGGCAATGGTTGCTGGTTGCTAGTAGGGCATGCCGACGGTGGAGTAGAGACAGAGAAGGTCTTCTAGTGTATTATAGCTCAAGCATCCTTTATCCCGAAATCCAAAATACTCCAAAATTGTCCATGTGTGTGGCAGAGATAGTGACACCTTTGCGTTCTTGATGGTACACAAACTTGGTTTCGTTTACATCATTATTAAAAAATATTGTATAAAATGGCCTGTAGATGAAACAGATGAATTTCATGTTTAGACTCTGGTTCCATCTCCAAGATTTAGATATACGAAGGTATAAGCAAATATAGGTATTTCTGAAAATCCAAAACCCTTCTAGTTCCAAGCATTTTGGATAAAGGACACTCAGCCTGTGTTTCTGTTCTTTGCTTGCTTGAAGAAGCATGGCCCTTCTTCATCACCATACAAATGCAGATATTCCAAAATCCAAAACACTTCTGGTCCCAAGCGTTTGGGATACTCATCCTGTATTTCTGTCCTTTGCTGGCATGGACAAGCATGGCCCCTTCTCCACTCCACCACAGAGAAAGGGGCTCCCTCTATAGGTGTGGGGTATAGAAGGGGGTCAGATATGTGGGGCTGAGGAAGGAAGGGAAGGGTCCCCCTCCTGCCCCAAGGGGAAGAGGTGCTGCGGATGGAAAGAGAACATTGTTGGGTGCATATGAAGGGAAAGTCTGGAAGGCCAAGGTGTTGGGGCCTGGTGGGCCTGGGCTGCCACTTCCTCTGCTTATTCCTCCTCCAGTGGTCCCTGCATTGCTCCCTGGCTGCCCGGTGCCATCAAGGCCAGGGTTCTGCTTCTTCCACTTGGTTCTCCGGTTCTGGAACCAGATTTTCACCTGCGTTTCGGTCAGGCTGAGGGAGAGGGCCAGGTTGAGGCGCTCACACACTGACAGGTATCGTGTGGCCCTGAACTTGTTCTCCAAGGCCACCAGCTGCTCATAGGTGAAGGCTGTCCGGGCCCGGCGGGGCTTGGCACAACTGGATTCTGCTCGACGGCGCTTGGATGATGACGAGGAGGAGGAAGGAGATGAGGAAGATGGCCGAGGAGGAGAACTGGGCTCCTCCAAATCTGAGGACGGCGAGGAAGAAGAAGGGAAGTCAAGTGAGGTGGTGCCAGACCCTGCTGAGGTGGTTAAGTGTCTCTTTTCCTGGTCGTCATGGTCCTCTTGCTCCAAGGCATCAAGGGCCACTTCATTTTCTCTGCCGCTGGCATCTATGGGACACAAAAGAGTCCAGTGAAGCTGCCGGCAATCTGCATCCCCCCAAAGCTGCATGTACACTGTCAAATTAATGTAAGGCCCCTTCTACCTTGCCATATAAAATCCACATCCAGTTCAAAGAAGATAGTGTGTTTACCCTATCTGCCCTAGGTTGACACCACTTCAACTGCCATAGCTGAATGCTATGAAGTCATGAGAGTTGTAGTTTGATGAGACACCAACACTCTTTGGAAGAGAAGGCTAAATACCTTGCAAAAGCCCAACCCCCATGATTCCACAGCATTGAGCCACTATCTTCCTGGGAGCTGTAAACTACCAAACTACAACTCCCAGGATTCCATATCCTCCAGCCAGTGAAGTCGAAGTAGAATCAAACTGCATTAACTCTACAGCAGACATGCACCCAATGCATCTAAACAATGGTATTAGTCTTCAGCCTACAATACAATACAAAAATTTATTTCGGTCACTGATCTGCACAAATTAGTCCTCAGCCTATGTATTAAAGTTAATTCCATCTAAGTTAATCAATGTTATTCTTTTAAAAAATTATGGCTGCATCTGCACTGCCAAATAATAGTCCGAATTGCATTGTATGGTCAATTTAGACCCATATATTGGAATTTTAACTAGAGTGTATGGATCTATACTGACCATATGATGCAGTTCAAACTGCATTATTTTGCAGTGTAGATCCAGGAAGGGATCATTCAAATAATTACGTTTTTTTTGTTTCTGTCCAGGAAAATGTAGCATATGTGGAGAGAAAAAGCAGGGTATAAATAAACATAATATTAATAACCAAAAAAAAAAACCCCAACAACGTGTGTGTCTCCCAGAAATCTGCCCTGCCCTTTCAATGTGTGCCTGTGTTCCGTCTGTGTCCCGTGTATGTATATATGCCTATGTGTGTATATTCGGAAGAAGAACATGGATTTCTAGAAAAGCATGAACCCAACTTCTTTCAATTTTCAGTGTGCGACATTTGGCTTTTAGTAATATAAAAAGGAGGGGATTATTTATTTATTTATTTATTTAAAACTTTTAGATCCCGATCTTCTCTACCACCGCAGAGGGACTCAGACCGGCTGGGATCTATTAAGACTTATTAAGCTCCCACAGAATCATTCTATTAGTCATTTTTGACATATTCTCCATAGCAGAACTGGCCTTTGCAGCCTATCAAGAAGGGGATATTGTTGTCATTGCTATTTGCATGATTGATTAGGCATCCCAAAATATTACAATAGATATTGTTGCCTCAACAACTATCTTCTGACTGCAAAGCTCTCTTCTCCTCAAGCACTCCTACAACAGCAGGGGAATTCCAGACAAGAATCATTCAGGGCCAGCTAACACCTCCCAACAAAGGATTCCCCCAGGCAGGCTTTATTTCTTGAAGTATGGACTGGTTGGATCTTCTCGCTGTCCAAGGCACTCTCAGCACTTTCCTCCAGCACCACAGTTCAAAAGCATCTATCTTCCTTCACCTTCCAGCCTTCCCTATGGTCCAGCTCTCACATCCGTAGGTGACTATGGGGAATACCATTGCTTTAACTATGCGGATCTTTGTTGCAAGTGTGATGTCTCTACTCTTCACTATTTTATCAGGATTGGTCAATAACAAAGAGAAGTACTTTGGCCACATCATGAGAAGAAAGGAAAGCTTAGAGAAGACAGTTATGCTGGGGAAAATGGAAGGAAAAAGGAAGAGGGGCCAACCAAGGGCAAGATGGATGGATGGCATCCTTGAAGTGACTGGCTTGACCTTGAAGGAGCTGGGGGTGGCCACGGCCGACAGGGAATCCTGGCATGGGCTGGTCCATGAGGTCACAAAGAGTTGGAAGCGACTGAACGAATGAACAACACAACGCAGTTTGGAACTTCATTATAGAGTCAGGGTAGACTCACATAATGCAGTTCAAACTGTATTCTAAGTCTAGGCTGGCCGTGGCCAGTGTAGATGTGGGCCTCTTTCGAGGGCAAGATTCAAAAGGAAGAAGCTGGGCTCTAGAAAAGTTTCTTCGGGAGTTATATTTTGATGCTTTTCCAGGCTTGCTTCTCCTCCCTCCCTCCCCTCCCCCTCCCCTCCCCTCTCTTCCTTTTCCCATCTTCTCCTTCCCCGTCCGCCCTAATAGAGTTTCAGATTTGTGAAGGGGCGGATCGATAGATGTCATCTATTAAAGGTAAGTTTTAATCGAAGGATATTAGGATCAGGCCGAGGCGGGGGAGGCGGGGGAAGGGGCCCCGCGGCGTGGCGTGGCCGCCTGCAAGCTGCGGAAGGGAGATAGGCGGGCCGGGCTAATGGGATATCGATCACGCAGCCCCGAGCGGAGGCATCCTCCTCTCGCGGGGGACAGCGCAGAAGGGACAATTACCGCGCGCCTCCTTCGGCCAGATGTCAATCAAGGCCGGGCGTCGAGGCGGAGCCTGCCGAAGACCCGCCGCTAGGGGGAACCTCGCCGCCTCCTCCTTCCCCCTACCCCAAAAAGAAGAAGTCTTAAAGGGACAGCACACCAAAAGAAACTTTTGGACTGCTTCTTCTTCGAGGATATTATCGACGCTGTAGAATGAATGCAAGCGGACGCTAGTTTCACCGCTGTGGCTCAATTTGATGAGGCCCCAGCATCCTTTAGCAGGGAAGGGTTTTTTGTTGTTGTTTTTGGGTTGTTGTAGGTTTTTTCGGGCTATATAGCCATGTTCTAGAGGCATTCTCTCCTGACATTTCGCCTGCATCTATGGCAAGCATCCTCAGAGATAGTGAGGTCTGTTGGAACTAGAAAAAGAGCTTATATATCTGTGGAATGACCAGGGTGGGACAAAGGACTCTTCTCTGTTGGAGCTAGGTGTGAATGTTTCAACTGACCACCTTGATTAGCATTTGATGGCCTGGCAGTGCCTGGGCAATCTTTTGTTGAGAGGTGATTAGATGTCCTTGTATGTTTCCTCTCTGTTGTTTTGCTGTTGAAATATTATGATTTTTTTTTGTCGTGTCAGGAGAAACTGCAAGTCGCTTCTGGTGTGAGAGAATTGGCCGTCTGCAAGGACGTTGCCCAGGGGATGCCCGGATGTTTTGATGTTTTACCATCCTTGTGGGAGGCTTCTCTCATGTCCCCGCATGGAGCTGGAGCTGACAGAGGGAGCTCATCCACCCTCTCCCCAGATTCAAACCTGCAACCTGTCATTCTTCAGTCCTGCTGGCACAGGGGTTTAACACACTGCGCCACCTGATTCTATGATTCTAAGAGGCCTGTTTATCAGACAAAACTTTCACTCAATTTCTCTGTTTGCTCTGGGAAATTTACAAGAAAGGCTAACGGTTGGACAGACAGGAAACAATCAGGGCCAGCTAACACCTCCCAACAAAGGATTCCCCCAGACAGGAAGCAGCCAGGCTTTGAAGCTGCAGGGCCATTCAAGGTGGCCAAGGAGGCTTCTCTCATGTCCCAGCATCGGAGCTAGAGCTGACAGAGGGAGCTCATTCGCGCTCTCCCCGGATTCGAACCTGCGACCTGTCGGTCTTCAGTTCTGCCAGCACAAGGGTTTAACCCATTGCACCACTGGGGGCTCCTAAGGAAGGGTAAAGACCTTGTCAAACTACAACGCCCTAGCATTGAGCCAAAGCACTTAAAGTTATGTCAAAATGCATTAAATCCACAGTATAGAGCAGTTCGAAAACATGCAAATATGAGTAGATCAATAGGTACCTCTCTGGTGGGAAGGTAACGGCGCTCCATGCCGTCATGCCGGCCACATGACCTTAGAGGTGTTTACAGACAATGCCGGCTCTTCGGCTTAGAAATGGAGATGAGCACCACACCCCAGAGTCGGACACGACTGGACTTAATGTCAGGGGAAAACATTTACCTTTACCTTTATAGAGCTACCCTGAAGACTCCCAAGTTGGATCTATACTGCCCTATATCCCAGGTTCTGCTTTGAACCGGTTTATATGGCAGTGTGGACTCAAATAGTCAGTTCAAAGCAGATATTGTGGAATTTTCTGTCTTGATATTCTGGGTTTTATGGCTGTGTGGAAGGGCCCTTAATCTTTTCTTATCTCTATGGCCCCTTCTACACAACTATAAATTTCAGATTATCTTCTTCGAACCGAATGATATGGCAATGTGGATTCATATAATCCAGTTTAAAGCAGATAATGTGGACTACAAGAAAGGAGATTCCATCTGAATATTAGGAAGAACTTCCTGACTGTGAGAGCTGTTCAGCAGTGGAACTCTCTGCCCCGGAGTGTGGTGGAGGCTCTTTCTTTGGAAGCTTTTAAACAGAGGCTGGATGGCCATCTGTCAGGGGTGCTTTGAATGCAATTTCCTGCTTCTTGGCAGGGGGTTGGACTGGATGGCCCATGAGGTCTCTTCCAACTCTATGATTCTATAATATGGCAGTGTGGATAAATAAATAATCTTGGATCAGATCCTGGGATATAGGGCTGTATAGATCCAGCCCTAGTTTTAGGCCCCTTCTACGCTGCCATATAATCCAGATTATCAAAGTAGACAATCCACATTATTTTTTAACTTGATTATGTGAGTCTACACTGCCAGATAATCTAGTACAAAGCAAATAATCTTGATTTTATGTCAGTGTAGAAGGGGCCTCAGTCAAGCTGTGTAGACAGGCTCTTATTTATCAACAATTTAGGAAATTATTTCATTCTGAAGTAAAATGACCTGAGGCCTTACTCAAACATGAAGCGAAAATAAGCACCTTCTTAGAACTTCAAGGAAGGGGATACAACAGGGATTTTAGGGCCCTTCCACACACCCCTATATCCCAGGATATCAAGGCAGAAAATCCCACAATATCTGCTTTGAAGTGGGTTATCTGAGTCCACTCTCAGATAATGTGGGATTTTCTGCCTTGATATTCTGGGATTTAAGGCTGTGTGGAAGGGTCCATAGATTGCATCTCCAATATAGGATTAATATAGGCTGGATCTATATTGCCATATTATCCAGTATCTGAACCCAGATTTACTATGTCATTGGATCGAATGAGACTTGAGCATCCACGGCTGGATCTACGCTGCCCTATATCCCAGGATCTGACCCCAGATTATCCACTTTGAAACGGATTACATAAATCTACAACAGGGGTCCCCAAACTAAGGCCCCGGGGCCGGATATGGCCCTCCAAGGTCATTTATCTGGCCCTCGCTCAGGGTCAACCTAAGTCTGAAATGACTTGAAAGCACACAACAATAACAAAAGCAGGTCCACACAAACCATTGAAATACTAATAAATTTATATTTGTTCATTTTAATTATTGTATTGTTTTAATGTAGTGTTTTTTTTTTTTGCACTACAAATAAGGTATGTGCGGTGTGCATAGGAATTCATTCTTTTTTTAAAAAATTATAATCCGGACCTCCAACAGTTTGAGGGACTGTGACCTGGCCCTCTGTTTAAGAAGTTTGTTGACCCCTGAACTACACTGCTAGATAATCTGGGATCAGATCCTGGGATATAGGGAAGTGTATATCCAGCCCAAAGGGGATCCTGGAGCCAAACCCCAGCTAATACAAAGCTCCCTCAACAGCCCTATCACACTAGAAGACTAGGGCCCCTTCTACTCTGCCATATAATCCAAATTATCAAATCAGATAATCCACAGACCCTTCCACATAGCCATATAACTCAGAATATCAAGGCAGAAAATTCCACAATATCTGCTTTGAACTAGATTATCTGTGTCCACCCTGCCATATATTCCCATTCAAATCAAATAATGTGGGATTTTATTTAGTTGTGTGGAAGGGGCCCCAATTATCTGTTTTGAACTGGATTATATGAGTCTACACTGACAAATAATCCAGTTCAAAGCAGATAATAATCTGAATTTTTGATGGCAGTGTAGCTCCAGCCTGTGAGGGAGCCTCACAACTTTGTGAAGAACCGGACAGGGAGCATTTTAAAGTTCTCGACTGTATCTATGCTGTAAAATGAATGTGGTTTGACACAACTTTTAACTACCATGGCTCCATTTATTTATTTATTTACTTATTTACTATATTTATATACCATCCCTCTCAGCCCGCAGGGGACTCGGGAGGGTTTACAGTTGGTACCAAGACCATAAAATACAATAGCAATACAATTGTATAGATCCAAGGAGGTTGTAGTGTTAGATGTGAGTTTTCCGGGCTGTATGGCCATGTTCCAGAAGCATTCTCTCCTGACGTTTCACCCACATCTATGGCAGGAACATGGCCATACAGCCCAGAAAACTCACAGCAACCCAATGATTCCAGCCACAAAAGCTTTTGACAACACATCTTCAGTATTCTTTGCCAAATAGTGTGATGCCCCACCAAATTACAAATCCTAGGATACTATAGCATTGAGCCATGACAGTTAAAATGATGTTAAACTACATTCATTTCTACAATGTAGATGCAAACTTCCTCCAGGCTGAAAAGTTTTAATGAGAGCCAAAAATTAAACCCCTTTCTTTTGAACATCTTTCTGCACTGCTGAAGATACGAAGTCCCAATGTCAAACTCTGGGTGCATCTAAACTGGAGAATTGGTGCAGTTTGACACTACTTTAACTGCCATGTCTCAATGTCACAGAATACACGGGAGTTGTAATATGCTGAAACACCAGCACTCTGTGACAGAGGAGGTTGAACACCTTGTAAATCTACAACTCTCACCATTCCATAGCATTGAGCCATGGCAGTTATAAGGGTGTCAAAACTGCATTAATTCTACAATATAGATGTACCCTACAATGGAGGCATCCTGAGATTCCTGTGTAGTAGAGGAGATGTTTACTAAATAATCACTATATTTGGGTGATTATCCCACTATAAAATCCCACTATATCTGCTTTGAACTGGGTTATCTGAGGGCCCTTCTACACTGCCCTATATCCCAAATTATCAAGGCAGAAAATCCCACTATATCTGCTTTGAACTGGGTTATCTGAGGGCCCTTCCACACAGTCATATATCCCAAAAAATCAAGGCAGAAAACCCCACAATATCTGCTTTGAATTGGGTTATCTGAGTCCACACTGCCATATATTCCAGGTCAAAGCAGATATTGTGGGATTTTCTGCCTTGATATTCTGGGATATAGAGCTGTGCGGAAGGGCCTTGAGTCCACACTGCCCTATATTCCAGTTCAAAGCAGATAATGTGATATTTTATATTCAGCAGCGTACTTTTGCTAACTTTCTGCTGAAAGTTATTGAGCACCTGTCTTTTTAGAAAACCGACAATATCATATTTTGGAAGCATCATTTTGGGGCTTGCAAGGAATGAATTAACGGCTCCAACATTTTTAGGTCTTGAAAGTTTGGGATCAAGGACTCCATCGGATACAAAGAGCCCTACCACACAGCCCTATATCCCAGAAAACCCCACATTATCTGCTTTGAACTGAGTTATCTGAGTCCATACTCAGATAATGTGGGACTTTCTACCTTGATATTCTGGGGTATAGGGTTGTGTGGAAGGGCAGAAAGAAAGAAAGAAAGAAAGAAAGAAAGAAAGAAAGAAAGGGAGAGGGGAGGGAGGGGAGGGAGGGAGGGGGAAGGAAGGAAGAAGAAAGAAGAAGGAAGAAGGAAGAAGGAAGAAGGAGGAAGAAGAAGAAAGAAAGAAGAAAGAAAGGAAGGGAGGAAGGGAAGAAAGAAGAAGAAGAAGAAGAAGGAAGGAGAAGGAAGGAAGAAGGAAGGAAGGAGGAAGGAAAGAAGAAAGGAAGGAGAGAAGGAAGGAAGGAGGAAGGAAGGAAGAAAGAGAAGGAAGGAAGAAGAGAAAGGAAAGGAAGGAAGGAAGGAAGAAAGAATGAAAAGAAGGAAGGAAGGAAGGAAGGAAGGAGGGAAGGAAGGGAGAAGAAAAGGAAGGAGAAGAAGAAGAAGGAAGGAAGGAAGGAAAGAAAGAAGAGGAAGAAGGAGGGAGGAAGGAAGAAGGAAGGAAGGAGGAAGGAAGGAAGGAAGGAAGGAAGAAGGAAAGGAAAGGAAGGAAGGAAGGAAGGGAAAAGAAAGAAAGAAAGACAGAAATCCCCCTGGCCTTAGACTGGATCCTATCTTCCTCTCCCCAAAAAGCGCCCCCCCCCCCCCAATCCCTAACCTTAACCCTACCTTGGGACTCTTCGGGCTTCCTTCCGGGTCTGCTTTCCAGGAGTCCAACTCTTCCCCAACTTTTCTCCTTCTCAGGGATGCTCTTCCTCCTGGTGAACTTCTGGGGATCCAGGATGTCTAAGATGGAGAAGGAGATCTTGGTGTGGATGGGGGGTCCTTTCCCCCCGCTTTCCTGGCAGTCCGGCATCCCCCTCCAACGCCGCTGCCTCCTCCTCCTTTTCCTAATCCCAGTAGATCTCCAACGAGGATCCACAAGGTCGGCTGCAGGTGAAGGCGAAACAGATATTGCGCTCCTGAAGGCGCACAGCCGGATCCCAGAGAGAGGCTGCTGTCCATAGAGAGAGGATGGACGTCTAAGAAGTAAAGGGGGATTCTCCAAAGGGTGAGAGGAGGAGGAAGAAGAAGAGGAGGAGGAAGAAGAGGAGGGGGAGCAGAAGGAGGAGGATCCCCGTTTGACAAGAGGAAAAAAGGTCTGCGATTGGAAAAAAGGAGGCTGGATAGCCGCCTCCGCCTGGCACTTTCCTTCAACTATAGATTGCGAGTGTTTTCACCCTCCTCTCTGGCCAAACACGTGGAGGAGGAGGAGAACTATCTTTCATCCACACCAAGAATGAATACAAGCTTGATTCCGTGGCTATATGGAGTCATAGGAGTTACAGTTTTACAAAAAGTCTTTGCCCCCTCTCCTGCCTCATATTCCACAGCGTTTGAGTCCTGGCTGCCCAAACTGCATTGATTCTGGGTTGCTGTGAGTTTTCCGAGCTGTCTGGCCATATTCCAGAAGCATTCTCTGCTGACGTTTCGCCCACATCTATGGCAGGCATCCTCAGAGGTTGTGAGGTCTGTTGGAAACTAGGAAAATTGGGTTTATATATCTGTGGAATGTCCAGGGTGGGAGAAAGAACTCTTGTATGCTTGAGGCAAGTGTGAATATTGCAATTGGCCACCTTGATTAGCACTGAATGGCCTTGCAGCTTCAAAGCTTAGCTGCTTCCTGCCTGGGGGAATCCTTCCTTGGGAGGTGTTAGCTGGCAGGTTCAAAGCAGCCAGGCACTTTTTTTTTATCATGTCAGGAGCAACTTGAGGAACTGCAAGTCACTCCTGGTGTGAGAGAATTGGCCGTCTGCAAGGACGTTTCCCAGGGGACGCCAGGATGATTTGATGTTTTTGTCATCCTTGTGGGAGGCTTCTCTCACATCCCCGCATAAGGAGCTGGAGCTGATAGAGGGAGCTCATCCACCTCTCCCCGGATTCGAACCTGTGACCTGTCGGTCTTCCGTCCTGCCGGCATAGAGGTTTAACCCACTGCGCCACTGGGGGCTCCAGGCACTGAAGCGGCAAAGCCATCCTATGCTAATCAAACTCGCCAATTGCAACATTCACACTTGCCTCACACAGACAAGAGTTCTTTCTCCCACCCTAGACATTATTCCACAGATATATAAACCTCACTTGTCTAGTTGCCAACAGACCTCACAAGCTCTGAGGATGCCTGCCATAGAGGTGGGTGAAACACCATGAGAGAATGCTTCTGAATATTGCCATACAACCCAGAAAACTCTCAGCAACCCAGTGATTCTGGCCATAGAAGACTTTGACAACAGATCCATGACTCTTATTTTAGTCACTTTTTTTGTCACAAACATCAGGCTCACACCACATCTTATTCATGGGCCATAGACTTACCACTGAGAGGAAAAAAATGAAGTTGATATCGGAAGAGTACTTTAAAAAAAAATCAGTTTACAACACTTCAAAATTATAAAACATTCTCCCATTTCGCATGTTCAACAAACAAAGTGCTTGAGACAAGTGTAAATGTTGCAATTGGCCACCTTGATTAGCACTGAATGGCCTTGCAGCTTCAAAGTCTGTCTCTTTCCTGCCTGGCAGAATACTTTGTTTGGAGGTGTTCGCTGGCTCTGATTGTTTCTTGTCAGGAATTCCCATGTTTTGGAGTATTGCTCTTTATTTACAGTCCCGATTTTAGAGTTTTTAAAATACTGGTAGCTAAATTTTGTTCATTTTCATAGTTTCCGCCTTTCTGTTAAAATTGTCCACATGCTTGTGGGTTTCAGTGGCTTCTCTGTGTAGTCTGACATCATGGTTGTTAGAGTGGCCCAGCATTTCTGTGTTCTCAAATAATATGCTGCTTCCAGGTTCATCAGGTGTTGACTTCTCAGGTTGAATTAGTCTGCAATGTCTTTCATGTTCCTTGATTCATGTTTTGGCGCTGCAGTTGGTGGTCCTGTGTAGGCTTATCCACAGCTGCATTGTATAGGGTAGACTCCTGCAAAGGTGAGAGGAATTGATTCTGCAACTGTACATTCACTCTTTGGCAGAGAAAGCCCGTGTAGAACTACAACTCCCAACATTACAGAGAAAGGAGCCATGGCCATTGAAGTGGTGTCAAACTGCTTTAACTCCACAGTGTAGTTGCCAGTGCCACCTCCTTGAGGGCTTGGGGAAGGGTCTACTGAGCAGAAAGTTGTTGCTGCTTTCTGCTCTTCCACCCACAACTATCCTCCTTCTATAAGGTGTGAAATGTAGTGCAAAGTCTCTCCATCTGTCAGCGATACTTTGATTTTGCTTTGAAGGTTGAGAGAAAACATGATTGCTATGCTTAAGTATTTGAAAGGCTGTCATAAGGAAGAGGGAGCAGGCTTGTTTTGTGCTGCCTTGGAGACTGTGTTCAAACTACAGGAAAGGAGATTCCACTTGAAAATTAGGAAGAACTTCCTGACTGTAAGAGCTGCTCAATAGTGGAACACACTGTCTCGGAGTGTAGTGGATGGCCATCTGTCGGGGTGCTTTGATTGTGCTTTTCCTGCATGGCAGAAGGTTTGACTAAATGTGGTTTCTTCCGACTCTATTATTACATGATTCTATGATTCTACATAACATAACATAATATAACACAGCACTTTCTTTGTATTCTTCCCTATCTCCCTGTGGGGACTCAGGGCAGATACCATCATATAAACAGACACAGGCAAACATTCAAGGCCTTTAAAACAATGAAACAGAAATACACAGACAAATGCACAGACAAAGGCAAAGGCTTCTCCTTTCATCTCCGGTTCTGGAGGCGGTGCTCATCTCCGGCTCCAGGAGAGCTGTTCATCTCCATTTCCAAGCCTATGAGTCTGTGTTGTGATTCATAGAACCTTCTAGGTCCTGTGGCCGGCATGACTTCATGGAGTGCCAATTACCTTCCCACCGAGGCGATACTATTGATCTACTCACATTCGCATGTTTTCAAACTGCTAGATTGGCAGGAGCTGGAGCGAACAGTGGGAGCTTGCCCTGGCCCGCGGATTCAAACCGCCAACCTTCAGGTCAGCAGTTCAGCAGCTCAACAGTTTAACCCATTGTGCCACTGCAGCCCCTTCTCTCAAGAATAAGGGCATGTGACAGATCGCCTTTCCATGCTTCACAAGCAGAATGCCAAGAAGTTTGTCCCTTGGGATCCTGGCAATCATTTTGTTCTTATTCCTCATTGAATCCTTTCTTGGATTTGATACTTGGGCTTTAGAGCGACCCCTTCTCTCTGGATCTGTGGCTGCAGTTGTGTCTGTGGGTTTGTTGTGGTTGGCATAACCAGCCTTTACCAAACTTAATGTGGGCAGAGAACAACAAGCACACAAGTGAAATTTTATTAAGACACCTTTCGTCAATATATTGATGCTTGAACTTTGAATCAATCACAGCTCCCTAAACCAAACTCTGTTCTCTGAAAGCTGTGACTGTTTTGTCTCGATGCCATCTGTTCCTTTGTTGCTGTTGAATGCCTTCATGCCATTTCCAGGCAATGGTGACTCTATAATGAATTCATCACAAGGCTTTCTTGGCAAGATTTGTTCAGAAAGCGTTTGCCATTGCTTTCCTCTGGAGCTGAGAGAGTGTGACTTGCTTGAGGATTCAAACTCTTGTGTCCAGCACTCAAACCACCATGCCAGATATCCTCAAACTGCAGCCCTCCAGCTGTTTGGGCCTCCAATTCCCAGAACGAGTTTGTTCATATGTCAGGAATTCTGGGAGTTGAAGGCCCAAACAGCTGGAGGGCCACCATTTGAGGGTGCCTGCACTAGACCATGCTTTCAAACCAAAACTCCATGTCTATGTTTTTTCCCTTTCTCTGTCAAATTCAACCGTATATGTCCTCTGACAAAGACACACCTCAGTTTGGAAACATTTTTTTCTCCTTAGGTCCCTTTCACAGCATTCCCTGAGGCTGGAACTATATCCCATGATCTGATCTCAGATTATCTGCTCTGAACTGAATTACATGAGTCTCCATTGCCATATAATCTGGGATAAGAGAATAATCTGGGATCAGATCCTAGGATATAGGGCAGTGCAGAAGGGGCCTGAGCTGCATTTGGCTGCCTTCATCTATGGGACTGAAACGGGACAGTCAATAGCAAACAACAATGTTACTATTAACAGGTTTGTGTTCTATCTAAATATGAAATGATAGTTTTGCTTTCACTTACACTAGCCATGGATAAAATCAATACATTGTCTACATTCACAAATTATGTGATAGGCACATTTTTGGCTTTCTGAAGAGCCTACATTAAGAATACCTGTATGTTAGTTTTAGGCATCTTATTCTGTCTACGCAAAAGGGAGAGCTTTGCAAAAGGGAACAAAAGTGTATTATTATTATTATTATTATTATTATTATTATTATTATTATTATTATTATTACAGGAAAATCTATACCAAAATGAGCTGATTTTGGAGGCCAGCAATCTCTCACCCCTTATTCCCCCATATATTTATTTCACTCTTATCAAAATGGACTTTTAAGCACCCTGAGTCGGGAAAGACAATTTTACCATGTTTTGTTCCCTTTCTAGTATTTCCTCACTTTAAAAAGTATTTCCTCACCTAAAATGGAGAGTGACAAGAATGGCCCCGAAGATCCCTTGAAAAGCATGCAGGCAGTTTGAGTTTTTCCAAATATCAAGGCATTGGTGGCATTTTGTGAGCCTTGGAGTTAGACACATTTTTCTCATCCCTGATCTATACCAATTGAATCATACTTCCTAAGGGCACCCTGAATTTCTAGGTAAACAGGTGTGGGATTAAACTGTATGAGTTCTAAGCATACAAGTCAATAAATCCTGTTATAACTCCTTACTGTTCATACTCCTTGGTTTGCAGCTGTAAACCCTCGTTTTCATCTGGCAAATGTTAGAAGCTAACACACTCTTACATAAGCCTATGGAAAAATAATTCCTATTGAGTTTAGTGGGATTTACTCCCAGATAAATGGGTATGGGACCGCAGCCTAAAACATTTATCCTAATACATCCTACATCGACATTGTCAATAAGTACAACAACAAATAACAATATGACACTGTCAATATTCCCCTCTTAAGCGGATTAAAATGGAAAGTTTCTAACATATTTTCCCTTGTCCGTATGATCAAGGAGAGGCACCATCTCTGTTTTGCTTTATTCCTTTTTAAAAAGATAGGTTGTATATCTTTTAATAGCAAAACAGAGATTG